TCCATCTTGCTTGTTTGCTTACTAGCAGCTTAATGAAGCCAGAAAATCTCCAAGGATGTCATGCAACTGGCTTTTTGTTCTGTGTGCTTTTTACTTGGGTGGAAAAAATACAGAATGGAATTTACTACACTGGTCTCAGAGGCTGCACCAGTTCCATTGAGTTTCCTTGTCTCATATGTTTAGCAGAGACGATGAAAAGTACTTAATTCAAGAAACATTCTAAACAACAGCATAAGTACCTCTCCAGCTCTTCAGCATTCTTTGATAAAATCTTTGGATTTTGTTCCAGGAATTTCTCTAAATCTTTAAACAGTGTTCCCAGGGAATGGCTTTGTGAACTTTATCCAAGTTAAAAGGCAATTGTAGGTCTATATTAACTTGTGTTTTTTCATACTAAAGCTCTTATTAATTAAGATCATGAAAAGCAACCCCTATAATAAAAGTGAAGTGTAAGACCCCCAATCATAGAAAATGGTTTGTCGAAGTTATTGTCAATATCAATATTGTTGTTGTTTTTTCAGGATTTAACGTATCATTTTTAAGTTGAAATAAAACCAGAAGAGTGCAATTGTATGGTAATTCATCTTTATAACAAAGTCAAATAAAAAAGTAAAAAGTAAAATAAAGTATCCGCAATTGTGAAAAATATTTTAAAAAACTCTCCAATATTTTTATCATACTTAAAATACTAAATGCACTTCTGTGTTGTCCAGAAGAGTCTGTACAGTCACTTTTAGTGGCAGACATAACATAGTCTTTCTGAATTCAAGTCATTTTTAATTAGTCAAAGTGCAAGAATAAGAAACTTGAGTCATAAATGTGGTTCAATTCCACACTGAAGCAAAAAAGCAAAAATAGAAAGGAAATGGAGTTACTAAGTTACTAAGGCAGCTGTCCCCTGATGATTCAACACTACACATATTCTACAACTTAGGTCCAAGCCATCATACAATCAGTAATCATCCAGAATATTTTACATCACGCTGTGCTGGCTCCGTTTGCACTGAAAGCTTATGGCTAAACCCTCTGTTTAATTGGCTACCTTTTGAGAGACGGTGTGTGCCAAACAGTGTGTCATCCTAATCACAAACAGACAAAGGTACACTGATAGCTGTGAATCACTGGAGGATCCTGTGATTAGTCGCTAAGGAATTATCCAGCTAGCATATTCTTCTGAAGGCCATTTCAGTGAATCAGTTAGGCCTGAGAAAGGCCAAGTCAATGAAAGGTTTGATGGTTTGCATTTTTTATGCATTTACATATGAAAGCTTGTTGAGAACCATTCACATACTGATGTCATTCTAGGGCTTTTTT